GCATCGCGCTCAGCAGCCTCCTCCCTGAGTCTGAGGAGGTTCACTTCACTCAGGTTCGCACCGCTGCTGAGTACCTCACTGCGATTAAGGCCCGCTACTCTACTCCCGCTGCTGTCTCTCTTGGCCGCCTGTTCCTCCCATTCCTGTTTCCTGACCTAGCGTCTTTTGAGCGCTCTGCTGACTTGATCGCTCACCTCCGCTCGCTCGACGCTAGTTACCGTGCTGCTTGCACTGAGGCACAGCTTGCACTGCTTCCTCCCCCTATGGCGATCACTATCTATTTTATCGCCACTAGCCTCCCTGACCGCCTTGCCTCCGTTCGCGACGCGCTTCTGCTGAAGCACCCTAGTGAGCTCACCGTCGAGGTCCTTGAGTCTGCACTCAAGGACGTCGAGAGCAACCTTCGCTCGGTAGCCGCTGCCTCTGGTGCTGTGCCCCCCCCACTCTTCCACGGGTGCACAGTCCCGCAGTTACCCACCTTTACTGCCTCACTTGCCACTGCCGCTACTGACGCGACTGCAGCTGCTGTTACGACTGCGTCGCGGTCCCGCGGTAGGAGTGGCAAGAAAGGCGGTTCTGGTGGTGGTAGTGGAGGTGGAGGCGGAGGTAGTGGAGGTGGCGTTGCGCCTGGCGGCGGTGGAGGTTCAGGGCCTGGAGAGGCGCCTCGTGCAGTGACTGGTGACTCCACTGCGCCTGCTGGTGGTGGCGACGCCCGAGTTCGTCAGTCGCCTCCTGTACTTCCTGCCCCGGTTGGTGGAGCAGCGGCGTGGTACCAGGCTCAGCGTCAGCAGCAGCTTCTGCAGCAGCAGCAGCCCCTCTCCTCCCAGCAGCCTCAGCAGCAGCAGCGGCAGCAGCTGGCTCCAGGGTCGGGGCTGCGTCAGACCCAGCGCGGTGCTGCTTACACTCCCTGCACCTACCAGGTTCTGACAGGCACTCGTCGTGGCCACCCTTGTGGCCGGTTTCACCCCCCTGGTCAGTGCTTTGCTCAGCTCACTGACACGGTTCGTTTGGTCTACGGGGTTGGTGCTCCTGCCCCTGACTGGCTGCCTCTTGTTCAGCGTTACGGCTCCGCTCTGTGGGGCATGTCTGCTGAGCAGTTAGTTGATCTGATTGGTAATCCCCATGCTATGTATGCTGTTGTTGACTCTAGTGTTTCTGACTCTGTTTACTCTGGTGTTGTTAGCTTAGGTGCTAGCCTTGCTCAGTTGCCTGTTGCTAGTGTAGGTTCATGTGTAGACTCTAGTCCAGCGGCTACCTCAGAGGACGGTTCGCTGTCGTTCACGCTGGACTCTGGAGCCTCTCACTGCTTCTTTCGTGACAGCACGACACTTACGCCTCTTCCTGCGCCTGTTTCTGTGGCGCTGGCTGATCCCACTTCGGGACCAGTCACCGCGCGTCACACTACCACCTTGCCGTGTCCGGCTGCTCCTTCTGGGTCTCTCACTGGGTTTCACGTCCCCTCGTTCTCCCGGAACTTGGTGGGCGTGCGACCCCTCGTGAGTCAGCACGTGGGTGTGTGGTTTGAGCCTTCTGGAGAGACTGCGGTGTGTGTTGACGGGGACTCTTACCAGCCCCTCGCCACTTTTGCTGCTGAGCCGGGCTCCGGTCTCTACACTCTTCACACTGGCCCGCGCGCTCAGCAGCGACTGCAGCAGCAGCAGCCGCAGCCGCAGCCACAGCCGCCCCTCCTGCCCCCGGCCCCTGTTTTGCCCCCCGTTCGAGTCCTCGCGTCTCACCAGGTTGCTCCGTCCCCCCAGGTAGCTGTGTCTTGTCAGGTTCCTCCGTCTAGTCCGGTCGCTGCGTCGTGCTCCTGTCGGTCGCTTGCCCACCCCACCGTTTTGTGGCACCACCGGCTGGGGCACCCTTCTCCTCCTCGTCTTCGCGCTATGTCTCGTCAGCGTCTTGTCTTAGGTCTCCCGCGTGTCTTGCCGTCGCTGCCGCCGTCCCTTGCGCCACCGTGCGGTCCTTGCGTCGAGGGTAGGCTGCGCGCCACCCCTCACTCCTCCTCCCTTCGTCCGGCCACCGAGCCTTTTGAGACGCTGCACTTGGACGTCTGGGGCCCCTCTCCTCGCCCTGGCCCTGAGCGTGAGCGTTTCTTTTTGGTGGTCGTTGACGACTACTCCCGCTACACCACAGTGTTCCCCCTGGCGAGGAAGTCTGAGGTGACTTCTACGCTGATCAGGTGGTTGCTTACCACCCAGGACACTCGTGGTCGTCGTGTCAGCTGTCTCCACTCCGACCGCGGGGGCGAGTTTCGCTCCGGCATTCTCGCTGGATTCTGTCGCGAACAGGGCATTCGTCAGTCCTGGACGCTTCCGGAGTCCCCACAGCAGAATGGGGTTGCTGAGCGTCGCATAGGCCTGGTCATGGAGATTGCCCGCACCTCCTTGACTCACGCCCGTGCCCCCCATTTCCTGTGGCCATACGCGGTCAGGTACGCCGCGCACCAGCTGAACCTCTGGCCACGCGTCTCTCGGCCGGAGGCTTCACCGACCAGTCTTTGGACAGGGTCCCCTGGTGTCGCGTCGAGGTTTCGTGTCTGGGGGTGCTTGGCTCTTGTCCGCGACACCTCCGCGGACAAGCTCTCGCCTCGCGCCGTTCCTTGTGTCTTCCTTGGTTTCCCTGAGGACTCCTCTGACTTCACCTTTTACCACCCTCCCTCTCACCGGTTCTTTGACTCCCGTGACGTCCGTTTCGAGGAGTCCACCCCCTACTACGTCAGGTACCCCAGTCGAGGTCTCCCGGTCCCTCCCCCCCCTCTCTTCCTGACCGCCGCTCCCCCGCCTGCTCCCCCGGTACAGCCTCCCCCCCCTGGTCCAGCCCCGTCTGGTGTGTCTCAGGCTAGCCCTCCCCCTTCGGTAGCCCCCCCTGTACAGCCTCCCTCCCCACAGTCTTCCTCGCCGCCTCCTGCAGGTGCTCCCTCTCGGGAGGTTGGTCCTGCGACTGTCCCTGTACAGGTCTCTGGTTCTGGGGGTGCTGGAGTTGGAGCTGAGCCGCGGGTTGCAGAGGACTCTTGTCTTCCGGGGGCTGGTACTGGTCGTGCGGAGTCTGGGGGTGCTGGTGCGGAGTCTGGGGGTGCTGCGTCTGGGGGTGAGGGTGTCCCTTCGGTTTCTGGAGAGCCTGGGTCTGGAGCTGGTGTTGGTGCTGCCTCTGGGGGTGGTGTGCTTGGTGCTTCGGAGGTCGACTCTGGGGCTGCCGCTGCCCCGGACACTACTCCTTCCCCCCACCCCTACCCGACCAGGTTCCAGGCTCGTGTTCGCCGTGCTCGTGAGGAGCAGCTGGAGTTGGAGAGAGAGGAGAGAGCGTTGCAGCGGCTCGAGGTAGCAGCAGGAGCAGCAGCAGCAGGAGCAGCAGCAGGGGCAGCAGCCGCTGGAGCAGCAGCAGCCGCAGCAGCCGCAGCAGCAGCAGCAGCAGCTGCTGCCGTCTCCTCCTCCTGTCTCGGGTCTTCGGACCCTTGGTCTCCCGTCTCCCTCTCCTTCCTCCTCCCCCTCTCCTCCCGTCTCTGGTCCTCCGCTTCCTCCTCCTGACCCCTCTCCCGCTGTTTTCCCTCGTTCTCAGTCTTCGTTGTCTCCTCCTCCTTCTCAGACTTGGGCCTCTCGTCGCTCCCCTCGTGCTCGTCCCTCGTCTCATTTTGACACCCATATAGCCCAACCCACTACAGGCTATAATATTTGACAAGAAACTGGACTGCCACAAATAGTACCTAGCATGCTTCAATAGAAAATTACCGTACAATAATTGTAACATATTCTGAATGAATATCTTCAACAAACCAGGTTGCCAAGCTGTTATTAGGTGCATACAATACAAACCATCTGAAATGGGTACCATCTACATGCCCTGGGCTCAGGTCCTCTCCTAATGTACACCGACAACTTCTGCAGTTGTGACACTTCTAAGTGAATCTTCCACTGTGCAAGAAGATTGTGCTACTTTAGTAGGAAGCTGTGTGTCTGGAACTAGAGAAACTGGATTACCAGTAAGATAACGGTTGCTACTGTTACCAGTACATCAATGCATCAGTACATAGCCAAATTCATTGTCATATTTCTCTGGTTTTAGTTCAGTCTTTACGGGCACATTCGTACTGAAATTCCTATGTTGTGATTGGCACGAATTCTTCTAATGAAATCTTACTTCCAAATGAACCACAGAAAACCGCAGGCCCGACAAACACCATCGACTTCATCCCTCCCGTCCGTGCCTGACGTCCAAGCTTGGTCTCGAACCAAATGCTCATCATCCCGCTTCTAGGCCTGGGTACTAGGTTCGGGGAACCGTGCCGCGTGTGCCGAGACTTCCTTCGGCTTATGAGCCTAGCTCTTTCCCGCCTTCCAGATATTCTCGTGCCGCTCGGTACTCCCGATTGCGGCGGATATTCAAGCAATACGCGCTTCCAGACGACCCCACCTCGCTGGCACATATAGTACAGGTGTCGCTCTCTGAATCGTCGCTGTTTAAACGGAGACTCACGCGACACCCCGATACCCCCAAGGGCACCGACGATGTTGCAATGGGTTCCGAACGTTGCCAGCACTCGCAAGCCCACCCCTGAGGGCCTCAGGCGTTGCGAGTTCGCCCAGAGCGATCGGCGTGTTCCCCTGTTTGCCTCACTCACTCTGGCACCCTCCTACCCTTCCCGTGCCTCTCGTCGCATTTCCTCGCTAGCTCGCTCTCACTCGATTCTCATCCGACGCTCATCAGAGTCGCAGACGGAAAGTATAATAGGCCTTCCGAATTTTCATTTCATTCATCAGTCTCGATTGAAGCTACTTGAAAGTCCGCTAACCTTGCTCCCTTGTTACTACCAGCTGTCTAAGCCTGCTTGAGTTCTCATAATATCGTGCACCATCTCTGTCGCGGAAGCCTTGACCTTCCTCCCTACTCCGTCCGTCAACGAAATGGCCTGCATCAGTGCTGAGAGTGCCTGCGTGGGCGTCGATGCTCTGTTCGCGAGCTGCTGGGAGCAAAACGACTCCCTCACTCGCTTCGTCTGCAGCATGATTTCAGCTCCACGCCTGGTAAGAACCACTTCCTCAGCGCCATCCCCTTCAGTTCTCGCAAACCTCGTCTTCCTTACCGGCAGAGTCTTGTTCATATGTATCATCCGTTGTTTTCTGGTTAAGTCATGATGCTTATTGTAACAGCAACTAATTTTCCGCACTTTTTCTCGCGCAGGTCATCTCCAAATGGATCAGGCCGTGCGAGCAAGCAACAGTGGAGGTGCAATCGGTTCCCGCTGTTCCTGCTGTCGCGCTTCCTGTTGTCGCTCTTCTGGAAGAAGCTGCGTCAACAGATGCAGAGGCGGAAACCGTCTATTCCACTGAGGCTCGCAAGGCGGACGCTGCAACTGTGACTGTTACTGTTTCGATTCAGGTTGAGGAAGCTGAGGAAGCAAAGAAACCGGTGCAATTGAAGAACAAGGCTTCTTCGTTCCTAGAGCTGCTGGCTCAAGAGGACTCAGTTGCCTCTCATATGGTGGTTGCTTCATCCTCAGCTAAGGTTGCGGCCTGGTTGGGTGTGGAAACAGAATCACAGCAGGCTGAGAAGGTGGGAGCAGAGTTTGAGCAGGGTGGGAAGATGGGAGCAGAGGCCAGCAGCGGGTCGTGCAGCTTGACTCGCAGTGAGAGCAGCTGCAGCAGCCGCAGTGCGTGTCTCATCCACCTCTCCTCGGACTCCTCCTCCTCTGCTAATAGCCTCTGCAGCAGCCCCACACGCTTGACAGCGGAGGCAGCTCGTGTGAAGAGGAGGATTGGCCGAGGCGTTTCCAGTGCTGGAAAGGGTCGCTCTCTGTCCACTGATGATCACTTCAGTTTGAAGCCCACTGCCTTCACTGAGCTTTTGGCAGCTGAGGAAAACTCACCGAAGAGAAGGGTCGGTGAAGGCCTTAGCAGCAGTGGGAATGGAAGGAGCATGGAGGGGAAGGGGTTTGGGAAGGCGGAGGAGGAATGGATAGTCTCAAACCAGTTGTTTGGGTGTGATGATGGGGAGGAAGAGGAGGAAGAGGATGGCAGTAGCAAGCAAAGTTTCAGGACCCTTGGGACTGGAACAATGTGCTACATGAATCAATTGTACATGGATGAGGAAGAAGAGGAGGAGAGGGAGGCGTTGGCTGCGTCAGGAATTTCGCTCGGCATCGGCAGGTTCGGAGCCCGGCGGAGGATAACCGGTTCTAGTAGCCGGGTGACTCTCAGGAGAATGAGTGCTGCACTGAGACAATACTAGAATACCAAGCTTTTGCTGTAGCAGCTGTGGCTGGAACACATAGGATAGGATAGGATAACATGTAGTGTGGCTGAAACCAGAGAATCTGGGCTGCCACTTGTGCACAAGGTATAATTTGTCAAGCTGTATATTACTCAAATCATGTAAAAACGGATAATTATAACTGCTAAAAATAGAACAGAACATGTGTATCATAGCACCATCCCTGAGGTCATCCAATACGTAACAGCAGCACCTAGGGAGCTCCAGCCTTCCAATTCGGAATGCTCCATGTTGCATCGTTTATCATGGAAACCAGCTTGAACTGAAATCACAATAGCAACAGAGAGCCAGTTGGTCACGGAACAAGTTCTACCAGAAACAGATACCGGTATGCATCAGTGAATGGTGGGTTGCTACAGGGAATTGTGGGAGAATGCCTAGAAGCAAGAAAGGAATCTTGACATGGATCGCGTGATTGGTGTGGTTGCGAGCAGATTTCAACGTTATATCATACCTATCTGGCACAAAACACCAACAACAGAAAAGGATATGCTTACAACGGAGGGAGCAGCCCCTTTAGGTGGGAGGGAGAGGTTGCGGGGTGGTGCTGTGTTGAAATCCCTTTTGTCAAAATGCCATGGTCCCACTACCCCTGGAGTCATCGTGCCCTGCAAGGTGAGAGGCAAGAAAACAAGGAGAAGCAGGTGAGATAATCCTCATGCCAACCTTGTTTAAGTCCCTCTTGTCAAAATGCCATGGACCCACGACCCCTGTCATCGTGCCCTGCAAGGTGAGTAGCGTGGAGGCAAGGAGAAGCAGGTGAGATCATGTTCATGCCAATCTTGCTGAACTCCCTTTTGTCAAAATGCCATGGTCCCACCAGCCCTGGAGTCATTGTGCCCTGTAATGAAAGGCTAAAAACAATGAGGCAAGAAAATCAGGAAGGCTAATGTAATGGGACGTCTAAAAAAAGTGCTGTTTGTTGTTTCTCTTACCAACCCTGGGGTCGCCTTGCCCTAAGATGTAGTGTGAGGAACAAGGAGATGAGGCAACGCAGCGAGGAAAAAGGCAGGTGGAGAAGGAACACCAAAACGGTAATTCCTATTCTGACATGCATGCAGACAATAACACCAATAGTGCAACCCCACGAAAGAATGAACAGCATGATTCAGAAATTCAAGCATCATGCAGAGATTGAAGATTGACAGATGCATTTAAATTCAGGCTCATATTAAAGACAGGGCATACGTGCATAACGGTTGAAAACATCAGGCCTCTTGTTTGAGGTGTAGATTACCAATGGCTGTATATTGGATGAGGTGAAAAGTGTAGTAACATATATTCAGGTCATAGTCACAGCCGTATGTGTAGTGGATGAGGTAGGAGTCCCCGGGGTCAGCATCCCATGGTGGCTGGAGCATTCAGTGTATGACGTGCCCACCATGCACCATGCACCATGCACCGGGGACCATGCACCATGCACCATGCACCGGAGACCATGCACCATGCACCATGCACCATGCACCATGCACCATGCACCATGCACCATGCGCCATGCACCATGCACCATGCACCATGCACCATGCACCATGCACCATGCACCATGCACCATGCACCATGCACCATGCACCATGCGCCATGCACCATGCACCATGCACCATGCACCATGCCCCATCCACCATGCACCATGCCCCATGCACCATGCCCCATGCACCATGCACCATGCCCCATGCACCATGCCCCATGCCTCAACCATGCATCATGCACCACCATGCACCATGCGCCATGCACCATGCATGCACCACGCACCTTGCGTCCAGCACTCACCATGAATAAACCACGCACCATGCACCGTACAACATGCAAGGGAGGAAAAAATCGGCAGAAAAGAGAGGTCACGGGGAGGTGGCGGAAAACCAAGTCAGAAGCTGGGAGAAAAACAAGCGAAGGATAATATCATTTGTTGTCCTAATACACACATCTCTCGAAAGCATTCCATCATTCGTCGCAATGAGTGAGGACGACCTGAAACATCTGTGCAATCCGAACCCTGCATACAGCTACCTGAAACATCTGTACAACCACCTGAAGCGCGCAAATACCCACCTGGATCATCCACATGCGGTGTAGAGTGTGTTGTATCCCTAACAGAGCAGCTGACGTGGCATAACCGTACCTGGAAGAGATTAGGGAGAAGGGGAGGAGTAAGGGAAGAGGAAGTGGAGAAGGGATGGAAGGAACACCATACATGCACTCTCACACACCATACATGCACTCTCACACACCATACATGCACTCTCACACACCATACATGCACTCTCACGCACCATACACGCACTCTCACGCACCATACATGCACTCTTACGCACCATACATGCACTCTTACACACCATACATCCACTCTCACACATCAGACATGCACTCTCACACACCATACATGCACTCTCACGCACACCACATGCACTCTCACCCACCATACACGCACTCTCACACACACCACGCACACCACTCACACCGCGCATACACCACATGCAGTCCCACACACACCACACACACCACACATGCACTCTCATACACACCACTCACACACATTTCCAGCACCCATCCAAACGCCTTGTCAGCCACTGGATCTGATTTCATCTCGAGAGTCACGTTGTGCCAGAGAGGGGCCAAGCGACGCAGCAGGTGCTGTTAGCGGGAGAGTCGGAGGAAGAAGAGGAAGATGGGAGGAAGGGGGAGGCGTTAGGGCACACGTAACTACCCCCTCATCAGCCTTCATCTCGAGAGTCACATTGTGCCACAGCGGGGCGAGGTGGCGCAGCTGGTGCTGTGGGAGGGAGAAAGGGAGAAGAGGAAGACGAAGGAGGAAGGGGGGGGGAGGGTGCGCACGCGTATGCAGATGTACCTCGTCAAACTCGTTAGCCACTGGATCAGCCTTCATCTCGAGAGTCACGTTGTGCCACAGCTGGTGCTGTGCGCCGCAGCTGGTGCTGTGGGTGGGGGGGAGAGTTGGAGGAAGAAGGTATGGTTGGGGGATTAGGGTTACTGCAGCAGCCTTCATCTCGAGAGTCACGTTGTGCCACAGCGGGGCAAGGCGGCGGAGATAGTGCTGCGGGAGGGAGGCGGGCCGAGGGGGCATATGCACACAGGCACATGTGCCTTGAAGCTGCAGCATCACACTTCATCTCGTGAGTCACGATGTGCCACAGAGGGGCCATGCGGCAGAGGAAGCGCTAAAGAAAGAGAGGCATTCAGCACAGGGCAGGCCAGGGCAAGAGAGGGCAGGAGGGCAGGAGAGAGCATGACAGGGCAGGAGAGGGCATGACAGGGCAGGTATTTCGTTGTGGATAAAGCAGGAAGTTTCAAGTAAACGAGAGAAGCAAGCAAGACACCTTGCGGACGTTGACAGGGGCGTTGCACGTTGCAGGTAAGAGCTGTATTTAGTGCCGCCTCGTGGCAGTGAGCGGAAGAGAGAAGCAAGGTGGGACAGGACTATGCATGGGGCGAGAGGCAAGCAGGGTACCTTGTGGATGATGACAGGGGAGTTGCCGATGGGGTCGATCTTGTTAATGGGGCCCTTCTCTGGAGGAAACCACCGGTGCAGTGCCTCTGGTGGTGGAGGTGGTGGCAGCAGATGTGGGGATGGGACAGGATAGGCAACAGGTGAGACCAAGGAAACGAGTGTGTGTGCCCCAGAGCATCGATAGTGTTGATGGGGCACTCCCCTAGAGGGAACCACCGGTGCAGTGCCTCTGATGGTGGTGGTGGCAGCAGATGTGGGGATGGGACAGGATAGGCAACAGGTGAGACCAAGGAAACGAGTGTGTGTGCCCCAGAGCATCGATAGTGTTGATGGGGCACTCCCCTAGAGGGAACCACCGGTGCAGTGCCTCTGATGGTGGTGGTGGCAGCAGATGTGGGGATGGGACAGGATAGGCAACAGGTGAGACCAAGGAAACGAGTGTGTGTGCCCCAGAGCATCGATAGTGTTGATGGGGCACTCCCCTAGAGGGAACCACCGGTGCAGTGCCTCTGATGGTGGTGGTGGCAGCAGATGTGGGGATGGGACAGGATAGGCAACAGGTGAGACCAAGGAAACGAGTGTGTGTGCCCCAGAGCATCGATAGTGTTGATGGGGCACTCCCCTAGAGGGAACCACCGGTGCAGTGCCTCTGATGGTGGTGGTGGCAGCAGATGTGGGGATGGGACAGGATAGGCAACAGGTGAGACCAAGGAAACGAGTGTGTGTGCCCCAGAGCATCGATAGTGTTGATGGGGCACTCCCCTAGAGGGAACCACCGGTGCAGTGCCTCTGATGGTGGTGGTGGCAGCAGATGTGGGGATGGGACAGGATAGGCAACAGGTGAGACCAAGGAAACGAGTGTGTGTGCCCCAGAGCATCGATAGTGT